AAGTCCTGGCTCCTTCATATTTTCTCTAAATTCTGTTTGAAAATTGAACATCCTTCCTTTATTTTCTCAGTGAGAGAGGAGCCCAGGTAGCACTTTTCCTGTTGTGCCCCAAAGTCTCCTTTGGCACACACATGAGATGGTGAGATAACCTTTCTATTTTCCATGTTATGGGAGGTGGTAGTGTGGCCCACATCCTTCATTGTTCCATTTATTTCTAGTAGTGTAATTTGTCTTGAAGATTCTTTTGCTGGTATCAATATTTCCATTTAATCTTTTCATAATTTGTTTTGCTATGGTAGATAAGCTTTCATTATTTTACTTTTAGTCTGTTTCTTTATATTTAAAGTGTAGTTCTCTGGACAACATACTTGAGTCTTGCATTCCTATCAAATCTGACAGTCTTTGCCTTCACTAGAATATTTAATGCAATTCCATTTAAACTAATTACTGATAACATTTAATTTAAGTGTGACATTTTGTTATTTTTTATTTGTATTTGCCTCATCTGCCTTTTAATCCTCTGCTTTTTATTTTCTTATTTTTATCAATTGTTTAATTTTTAAAAAATATTTTATTTTGGTTCACCTACTGACTTTTAAAATTATTTTTAATTTTGGTAAAAAGCATATAGCATAAAATTTACTATTTAAATCATTTCTTAACCTTTATCTAGTTTTGTGTATATTGACATTGTTGTGCAGGAGATATCCACAAGTTTTTTATCTTGGAAAATTGAAACTCTATATCCATTAAATGACACCCAATTCCCCCCATCTCCCAGCCTCTGGCAACCACCGTTCTACTTTGTGTCTCTAAAGATTTGACTCATCAGTGGGACCATACAACACCTTTCATTTTGTGAATGTCTTTTTTCACTTTGCATAATGTGTTCAAGTTTCCATATTATAGAACGTGTCAGGATTTCCTTTGTTCTTAAGGTTGGATATTATTTCTTTGTGTATACCACATTTTGTTTATCCATTCATTCATGTCTGAACATTTGGGTTCCTTTCACCTCTTAACTCTGTGAGTAATACTGCTATGAACACAGGTGTGGATTATCTTTTTGAGATTCTGCTATTACTTTGGGCACACAAACTATGGATTTATGAATCCTGTGTTAATTCTATTTTTAATTGTTTGAGAAGTCACTGTACTTGTTTTTAGTAGGGGCTACATCACTTTACATACTAACATAAAATGTACAAAGTTCCCAATTTTGCCAGTACTTGTTATTTTCTATTAGGTGTGAAATGATATTTCGTTGTGGTTTTGCATTTCTCTAATGATTAATGATGTTAAGCATCTTTTCATGAGCTTGTTAGACATTGGTATATAATCTTTGTAGAAATGTCTGTCAAAGCCCTTTGCTTATTTTTTAATCAGATTATTTGTTTTGTTTAGTTGCAGGCATTTTTTGTATTCTTGATGTTAATTTCTTATAAGGTAGATGATTTTCAACTTTCTTTTCTCTTTTGAGTTGCTAATGTAAACAGTGTTGGGAGCGAGCAGCCCTACTCCCCTCTTTGTGTGGCAGTGCTTATGTGACAGTTGCCTCGTAATCTGCTTGTGCCAGAAACTACTTGCTCCTGGCTATGCAAGTTAATTTGCAAGTGACCTTTTATCCTTCTCCAGAAACTGTT